GGACGGTGCGGAGCCGGCAGCCTGAGGACAGAGGGACGGAAAAGCCTGGAGCCGCTCGGGGAGGTGAGATAAGGGCACGAGGCACCGAACTCACCCATTAAAAACAGTAACCTGGGGAAAGCACCACTCACACCGAGTGAGAGCTCAGAGATCGGGGTCTACGGCAGCAGCTGCTGCACGCACCCAGGGGCAGGGAACGTGCGCACAGGATGATGCGCAGGAGGGTGAGGGACCAGCCGCTGCAGGTCTCGCTGCCTGGGCACAGGAGAGCCGCACCATGCCATCTCAAAGAGGCCCCGAGCTGGGTTCAGCTTGAAGGATCAGCTTCCAGCTTTGAAGGATTGCGTAGATTCGCTTCAGAGCAAGCACCCCTCAACAGGGCTCCAAAACATCAGGTTTAATAACACGTAATTAGAACTACCGATATCCTTACAGCAGTGTAAAATTGGAAAGAAACAGAAGTAAAAAAAGGTTGTAAATAAGCCCCCCGCTTGCCTGCCTACACGTTTGTAGAGCTTGTAAGAACCCTTTCCTTCAGGTTTATCTGCTGTGCAGCAGCTTTCAGAGCTTTCCCAGGTTGCCACACATCTCAGGGTCCCTGCGCCGGGTCCTTTGCTCTGCTGCACTGCTCCCTGCCCTTCTCACCATTCCCAGTCCCCGGACGGCCCCAACCCAATGTTCTCCAACAGTGACATGCCTTTTCCTCTCCCTGAGAGCCTGCTCATGGGGAAGGAGTCCCCCAGCTCTGCGTTGACCCGGGCTGCCTTGTCCTTAAACCCCAGCTGGTGGGAGGATGCAAGAGCACTGGTGGGATGCACCACATCTGCTTGTTCTCTTTTAGATTGATTATCTCCTGCCGGGCCTCCTATTATGGCTGTCAGGGAAAGGTGACCAGCCACGTGCATCCTCAGCCTGGCCCAGGAAGGTTCTTGGGCAAGGCTTGCTAACAGCCTCCCTCGCACGACAGCAACAGATAGTAGCCTGTGCATTCCTACCTGGCGCTGCCAGCTTCAGTCTCCTGCAGAAGGGGATACACTGGTGCAGGCTGCTTCCAACCAAAGACCCAAGCAGGCCAGGGGCAGGACCTGTGATGGATAAAAAGTTCCTGCATCCAATTTTTGGCCAGGAGCAAGTCAAAGGGCAGGGGTGCTGCTCCTGCAGAGCCGTAAAGCCATGCTGGTGGTGCGGGGTGGGAGGCAGGGATGGAGGAGCGTGCCGCCTCCGCCAGCACATGGAGTGGCTCCAGCTCCGCATTCCTGAGCCGTTCGGCAATGTTTCTGCGGAGGCCCGCGGCCCCCACTGGCTCTGCTGATGAGGAATGAAATGCATTTTGGGTCCGGAGCGAGGGAGCCTGGCGGTAGGGGCACCCGCCTGTGCCATTGCCATCTATCCAGACACACCAGCAAAGCTGTGGAGCCGAAGGGACGAGGAACACCCTGCTGTAGAAAAGGCTTTCCGAATATTTCATATACAGGGCGGGCTGCTGCGGTCACCAGGCCATCTTCTCTGTATCTAAAAATATTCTTGGAGTTGAGCATAGAGCTGCTTTCCGTCCCTCCGCAGGAAAAGGAGAACATGCCACTGCCAGGACAAGGTCAGAGACCATGGAGGAAGGGGAGGGGAGGACACCAGACGGCAGAGAGGAACTGAGAGGAGCCAGGCCATGCCTGGCCATTTCTGCAGACTCCTCTTGCCCTCCCAAAGCCACCCGAAATCAGGTGCTGTGCCAGAGGCACCCCTTAACACACCCTTGACGGGGGCCACCATGCTTTCCAAGACCCCGCAGAAGGATAACTGCTCAAGCCTTCCCACTCCCAAACTCCTGGAGGACAAAGACAGAGCTCAGCAGGGAATGTGCTCACGACATCAAGGAAACCCCCAGAGGAACGGGAGATGGTTCATTTTAATTCCCATATTCTACGGAAACAGTTCGGGCTCCAGCAGCTGAACTTTGCTGACATCAATGTCTTAAAGCAGAAACGCTCTCTGCTGCATCATTGCACCTCCTCAAACCCCGGAGAGACTTGTCAGCAAACGTGGCAATTAATCACACCGGTTTTGCAAATCTGCTGCCTCCTGCGACGGCATGAAGGCAGGGCTTGGCCCCTGCAGACCTCTCCCCTCCGGGTACCACGTGGGGAAGGAAAAGCCGGACTAGACATAACGGATGAGACAGCG